CGGTTGGCAGGGGGCGTCGCTGCGCGCAGGCGGGGAGCGCGCGGGAGGACGGCGCCGGGGATCCGGGGTGCGGGGAAGGTCTCGAGACTTCGGGGCCGGGGCGAGGGCCCCAGGGTGCAGGGAGGGCGCGAGAGGACGGCGCCTGGGCCCGGGGAAGGTCTCGAGTCTTCGGAACCCAGGGCGAGTGGAGTCGTCGGGGGACCCGGGAAGATGACCCGGACTGGGGGGTGTGAGAGTGAGGGGTGTGAGCCCGTGTTGGGTGAATGGGTGTGAAACGCGGAGGGGGTAAGCCGGGTCCGAGTCTTGCGCGGAGGGCTCGGGGGTGTGCGGGATTTGGGGGGTCCCAAGGATTTGGCGCGGGGTGCGGGTGAAACAGGGAGAGGGTTGGTGAGCACAGAGAGGGGGATGGAGGGGAGTGTGTACCCCAGAGGGTCAGGAGGAGTGTGGATGAGTGGGATGTGGGGCGTCGAGGTGTGTGGCAAAGAGTATTGGATGAGGGGCGTCCAGGGACGGGAGCCAGGGAAAGCGGGGTGCAGAGGTGTTGGTACTAAAAAGTGGACATCACCCAGAGGCTGGCAAAGAGGGGTCTTGGCGGAGCCCAGAGGTGCCCGCAAACTTCGGAGGGACTCTGGATGCCCAAGGCGGAGAAGAGTCGGAGGCCCCAAGGGGCCAGGGGAGTGGAGGGGGGGACAAAGGGCCTGTGCCAAGTGGGGCATCTCTGGATGCCCTCGGAGCCTCCCGGCGTGTGTGGAGACCCGAGGACCCGAGAAGCCCGCGTGCGGGGCAGCAGTCCATGCGGTCCCACCCTGAGCCCAGGCACGTGGGGGTGTCGGCGTGGACCGGCCTGGATTAGTGGGCGTTTAACTCCAGGTGCCCAGCATCAAGGGAGTCGGGGGAACTGGCCAGTGGCTGCGGAGGGGAAGGGAGCCTGACACGGGCCTAGAGGGCCTCGCTCGGCAGGGACTGTGCCTGTGAAGGGCAGCCGGGAACGGAGACCCCCCCGAAAGCTGGACCCCTTCGGCCCCCGCGCCTCCTCGTTTCAACTTGGAGGCCACATTCGCCGCCTGCGTGCCAGGGGGCGGGGCAGTGCCGCAAGGGGCTGGTCCAGGGGCGGGGCGTGAGAGCACGCACGCACTCCTCCAATCCAGAGGTTCGGGCAGGCCTGCGGGGCGTGACGCAGGGTGGGCGGGGCCTGGTGGGCGGGCGGAGACCCGGGGCCTCGCCTCGCCCCCCGCCTGGCTGCGCGCGCACTGCAGCACTTCCTATGGGATGCTGGCACCCTGCAGGCGAGGCCAGGAGGACCTTTTCCCTCCACGTCCTGCGATCCCGAGAATCAGATGCAGCCAGGGCGTGCGCTCACTGGGGCGATCAGCGACCTTTTCCCAAATCTAAAAGTATATTCTCGAAAATGCACTGCGAAAGGCATCCCGAGGCTTGCTGCCCTGTGCAGTTGAATCTGGCGAGGGTCTCCAGTGTGGGAGACAGCCAGCGGGAGAGCAGAGCGCCAAGGGTAGGCAAGTGGAAAGGCACTTGGTGATGGTGTTTTGGGTGCCGTCAAGTTGAGTATAACTCAGAGCCACTCTGAACAACAGACCTGAACCCTGTCCTATATTCTGTGTTATCCTCATCAGCTCTGATACACTTGAGCCCATTGCTATGGTTACTGTGTCAGTCCATCCCTTGAAGGTCTTCCTCTTTCTCTGACCCTCCATCTTTCCAAGCATTAATATCTCTCTCCAAGGAATAGCCTTTCCTAGCAACATGCCCAAAGTATAAGATGAGGCTTTGCCATCTTTACCTCCACGAAGCACTCTGGCTTCACCTTCTCCAAGACATAGCTGTGTATTCTTTTGGAAGTCCGTGAAATATTCCGCACTCTTCTCCAACACCACAGCTCAAAAGCATTAATTCTTCTGTCATCCTTATTCACTGTCTAACTCTCAGCTGCGTAGCAAACGACTGAAAAGACTATGGCCTGAATCAGGTGCACCTTAGTCTTCAAACTGATGTCATTGCCCTTTATTATTTTGAAGAGTTCCCCGACAGTGGATTTAGCCAATGCAGTATATCTCCTGATCTCCTTCCTGACTGCTAGTACCAAGGGTGTTCATTGTTGACCCAAGCAAGATGGAATATTGACAACTTCAATCCTTTCTTCATCTATCATGTTGTCTCTTGGACTCGTGGTACTTGCTAGGTGTGAAGTTTTGCACTCTAATCCAGGGCGTCAGGACCTCAGATACTTTGTGAGTGAGGGCTTGGGGGGTGTGTGTGTGTGTGTGTGTGTGTGTGTGTGTGTGTACACGCATGCGCACGTGTGAAGTCACAACTCTTCTAATGGTACTTTTGGCACCCCGGTAAATTGGGTAACCTAGCCATGAAGGTGGAAGTGAAGTGCCCATTTGGTCAGGAAGGCAAGCACAGTATAAGAACCCCAGGCACATGGTTCGAATCTATCAGATCCTTCACTGGAGAAGGAGAAGGAGGGGCAATCTCCTCCTGTGCCTGACAGATCCCACTGTACGGTACACAACAAGAACAACAACAACACCAAAGAGGGGGAGAGTCCCAGGCATGCCATGTTAACCTCCCCAGATTAGGGTTCCATATCCTTCCTTTATCCCAACTTCTAATACTCTTGATGTTAGTATAACATCTTGTATGTTAGTGTAACTGGTGCCTGACTATGGGCCCTGAGAACTGAAATAGTCATTGACTTCAGCTGAAAAACAACTCAATGCTTTCAAGTTGGTTCCAATTTATAGAGACCCTCCCTTGGGTTTCCAAGGCCGTAAATCTTAACCCTGGTCTAGGTAGGAGCACAATTAAGTGCTCGGGGATTCCCATTCTTCTAATGTGGACAATAACTTAGTATGATTCATTCAGTCAAAAGCCTTTATATAGTCAATAAAGCATAAGTAGACATTCTTCTTCCGTCTGTCAATACCCCTCATAATAATACCCTTCATGCCATCAGCTTCTTCTAGAGATCAAGGAATACAGCCTTCAATATGGATTGCAACTTAATGTCAAGAAAACAAAGATTCTTACCTCTGGATAAATGGAGAAAAGATTAATATTGTCAACAACTTTATCTTTCTTGGATATCTTACAATTAACAAACTTGGTACCAGCAGTCAGGAAATCAGAAGTATTGCACTGGGAAAGTCTATAGTCAAGGACCTCTCCAAATTATTGAGAAGCAATGATATCAGTTTGAGCACTAAGGTATGTCAGAGTCAGGCCACGGTCTTTCTGATCACTTGCTATGCATTTGAAAGTTGGACAATGATTAAGGATGACAGAAGAAGAACTGATGCCTTTGAGCTGTGGTGTTGGAGAAGAGCGCTGAATATCCCATGGATGGCCAAGAGAACAAACTTTTGAATGCTCTTTGGAGGTACAGACAATAAAGCTTTGCCTCACATACTTCACACATGTTGTTAGGAGGGTCTGTTCCTTGGGTTGGGACATGATGCTTGGAAAGGTCGTTAAAGGAGAGGAAGACCCTTGACCAGGTGGAATGACATAGTGACTGCTGCAATGAGCCTTAGTGTGTCTGAAGTGTGAGGATGGCACAAGATAAGACAAGGTTCTGATCTTTTAGTCATAGGATCACTGTGAGTCACACCCAACTCGATGGCAGCTAACAACAACAACAAATCTTATCCCAAGGAGACTGCCCATATTTCCTCCCAGGGAACTGCTCATCAAACCTCTGGAGAAGGGCTGCGTCAGGTTAGAGCAACATGCTGTGCACCACCACTCCTCAGATCATTTTTCAGTAGAAAACAAGTCACCATAGCTGGCTCATAGCTCATCCTCCCTTGACTTTCCAAGGTTGTAAGGTCACTAGGGAGCAGAAGAGCCGTCTTTCTCTCTAGGAGGCACCGGTGGGTTCCAAGTGCCACAGAGACACAGCCCTTGGTCAGCAGTGCAACCAGCTTACTGTGGGCCACACCACCAGGGTTCTGCCTCAAGAGAAGAAGTCTACTTCAAGGGTGGGAGATGGAGCTTTCAGAGATGGCTCTGAGGGGAGGGCCTTGGGAACAGATTTCTCCTACAGTTCTTGGAGGAAAGGTGAAGGGTCAGAGAAAGAAAGACTTCCAACAGGAAGGACTGACTGAGTGACTAACAACGGACTCAAGTATATCAGAGATGATGATTGAGGGCACAGGACAGGCTGAGTCATGGTTGACTGGATGGCACCTAACACCACCACCACCACCTAACAAGTTCTTGGTCTATACCCAGAGAGCGAACTGTCTCCACTACCTGCTGATGAGAGATTCCAAATGGCCCTCTAGTCAGCGAGCTCCTAGGAACATTTGGAATCACTGATTTGCATGCTTGAGGCCTGAATCTGTTTTGAAGGGTAAGGGGGAGTTCAAAACATTCTGCTCGTTTAACTACGGCTTATTTGGATTTTCCTCTAACAGTGACTCCCCGGGACTGTCTGGTAACAGTTATCCTTTCCTTGGATTCTTCACCATTCTCAGCTTCCTCAGATCACCTCACAAGGTGGGGGTGGGGGGAG